CTTCGTAACTGTTTCCAAAGCAACCGCTAACATGTCAGTGTCCAGCAACAAACAGGGTCGTACCAGAATAGCTGAATCATACAGTCACGCTTCGCGATGAGAGCGCCTCTAGTGGCTTCCTTTCGCGTCACCCACCGAACAGCTGACAATCCAGCTTGGTTATCAGCACAATTTGTAAGCTCTGTGGTTCCTGCTGCTGTAGCCATCTGCCTTGGATCAGCTTACAGAGACGCAAAATATCGATGAGAATCGAACCAGGTAAAAATATACATTAAAAGACCGTCCAAGTGTGCTTAACGGCTGGTCGTCTGAGGCGTCTCCAGGTTGCGGATAACGGATGTTCAGATATAAACGTTAGCTGCAAAAAGTGCGCAGCCCAATTATTATATAACAAGTCTGAATCTAATAAAAAATGCGCTTGCAAACCGATACTTCTTAAAAAAAATCAGAAGCATATTTTATAATATAATGAAATATTTAGCCCATGTTTATGCCAATAGCCATGAAAGGAACAGCGAGTAATTTAATCAGTCATTTGTTCCTGGGTGAACTAAAAATATGCAAAGATTTGTTAGACCATCTTATTCCTCGGTGAATGATAAACGCGCCCCTATCATATTTCAAGCATAGTTTATTCCACAAACCAAACGATTACCTTCATCAAACTAAAACTTCAAAACTTCAAAATTCAAGAACATTACAAAAGCTAAATGTAATCTGATTGCCAAAAGCGTACTTCATTTAGATCATAGTAGACAGATCGTCAGTTTTTAAAATTATAAAGCTCTGCTGAAGGACTAACGGAAGCAATGAATATTAATTTACTAATGAATTCCGTAATCATGGTAAAATTTGTCATTATGCCCTCTCGATTCTAAATTAAACGCCACTCATGGCAGGATAATCGGAAAATCAAGAAAAGATATCTGATAAGAGAAAAATTGCCATGCTTCGAGTAATTAGATGATCAAGATCTAGAAAACCAAACCAGATTGTTTTCCAGACTCAAACATTGATGTGATGATTTGTCTGGACTGAGGATGACACCTTTACATTCTCGGTACATCAGTAGGGCCGAATGACTGGTCTATAACAAGATCTAGAGGTGCATTTAGTTGTGTTGGCGAGGGTCGGTGTTCAAGCAGAAGATAGCCCCACGTATTTGAAAACCTGCGATATATTAATGCATCACACAAAAGCTTTTTTTTCGTTACAGCCATTTCTGATCCTCCTTATATCTTTACATACAACACAAATATTTTTTCAGCATGTGATGCAGAGAGTACAATATCCAAAACCAGATTTCATTATTTGTTACAGGGCGCCATTGTTACTAAATTGTTTGCAGAATAATTGGAACAGATTTATGATAAAAGGCACGATGGTTTTATAAAGAAACAAGATAATATTCCACAAAATATTGTCCTTAAGAAGTTATTTGTCTATCAGTATACAGTGATGTGAAAACCAAAATTTTTTGACACATCATGAGTCAACGCATTAACATAGAAAATCAATTACCTCTTACTTCTTCTATCATTGTAACTTATACATTATGGCATATGAAACAAGCTGCGTGTCCTATGCGACAAATGATTATTCTTATGGATGGAACAACAGAATGAGAATAAAAATAGACCGAAATACTGATTAAATCAAACTCTCATTACGGAATAAATTGAACTGTCGTGGGTTGCATTTCATAAATTATTGCAACTCTGTCGATTTTCAATTGGCCTAATGCTTTAGTCACATTTTAGCCATCGGCAGTCTAATGTCAGCATCCATCTTTTATCCAGGCTCTTATTTTAAAATCAGATGAAGGTTTAATGGTAACCCAAATGCTTATCTCATATCGCCATGATTTCTGAAGGACCGGGGCGATGTTCGCGTCCATTTCAAAAGCGGAAGCTATTCAAGGCTTGTTTTTGTTGACCTTATTGAGTAAGGTATTCATACCGATTTTTCGAGGTACACCTTTCGTTATTTCTTTCAGAAGAGAGAGCATTTCCTGATGGAGTTCGTAATTTTTTCTGTACTGTTCTTCTGAGAATTTGTTTGTTATTAATCTCGGAAAGCTTTCCTTACAGTAGTTCAGTTTCGAAACTTATCCAAGGCCTTCATCGTCTTTTCCTCCGTAAAGATTTCCCACTGAAATATCACCCCTATATTCTGCAGGTTTTCTGAATCTTCCACTGACGTAATGTACTTGTGATACTTTTGGGAATAGAAAATTTCCGACTTCAAACTGAACGATATGCTTTTGGCTGCTAATCAAGGACTAGAGCTTGATTGCAAAACTAGCCTCGCCATCACCAGCTCATGGGTGCTGCCGCACTGACACGTTAAGTATTCTGACACTACGTGTACCCTAACATCTTTAAGACATTCTTGATGACTTCTGGCAATGAGACCATGGTCAATCAGTCTCTCACGTTTTTGCATCTAGGGAGTGCAAAGCCATCTTGTGCACTGATATGTGCCGAAACCACGCGCCGCCAACAAGCCAATCATTCTTCTAACACAGTTCACCGCCGTCATTCATTTCGCCAACACTGTTTGATCCAAGACAACCATGCGACTCAGTCTTTGCTCCCACTTTCATACTGAAATCAAGGAGTAATGATTCGGCGCTGCCACAGCCTCAGACTCAGCATCGCATAAATTTTTCCTCTTATGGCACTGCCGCATCTTTGATAGGGGTACAGCAACCAACTACTGCGAAGTCAAATTTCCATATGTCTGAATTTTAACCTCGCCATAACTATTCCATCACATACCACGTTTCAGTGCAGAATGCCTGACATTCCTATCAACTACCAGGGCAACATCACGTCGGTGACCAGTACCTTTTGTCGTATTTTTTGTACAATAGAGGTTATGATTTTCAGAAATTAGGATGCTTGTTCTATGACAGTGTGTGTCGTGGATTGCAGCTATCTAGATTCCCATAAGGTTGACTATTTTTGCAACCAGTGTCTGTCCAGGTCTGTGTTACATTCGAACATTCACATGGTAAATGGTGTCTGAAGTTTAGCACTGGTAGGTGTTCTTCTCCGTTCTGAAATTTTTCAAGATGCATAATCATAGCTAATGAGATTTTCGGATTCCTTACCAACAGAATCCGGCCCATGAGATAAATTCTGCGGAGAGGAAAATTCGCTGAATATGATTGGCCCGAAGCAGATTCACCACAGCCTCACTAGCCTTCTCTACCACGGTTCACGACAGGCAACCGTAAAAGCTGGGGAGAAAGCACTACACCGCACTTTGCCCTGCTCTTACGTTATATGTTGCTCGATTAACATAGCTCAGAAGGGACGGCGGACCTTGAAGACCTGTGTCACATGATTTTAAAAATAATTACATTACGTTTGTTATTGCAGTTATACAGCACTATCTACTGCCAAATGGCAAACTATCT